AAAAAAAAAAAAAAAAAAAAAAAATATCTTCCCTTGGCGGGATTTGAACCCGCGACCCCCTTGTGTAGTGACCATGTCACTTACCACTACACCAGACAGCCGTTGAGCGTTCTCATAATTTAGATATGTTCTCAAAGGCAGACAGAATATAAATTTAATGAATGCTTCATACGTACCTAACATAATTTAAACGTAATACATGCTTTTATCTCAAAATTCAAGCGAAGATACAATGTTTGATATTCTAAAATTAAACAGACAGAATTTCTTAGTGAAAGTATATATCATAAAATATTCCAATTAACTTAATGCCTGCGAATAAAACGATTGTTTAATAGTTGAGAAAAAAGTTTAATAATAAATGAGGAAGAATTATTTGTAGTTGAACTATTTGACGTATCCATCATTGTCATATTTAGTGAAATTATTATTTATTGAATACTAGCTGACCCGGCAGACTACGTAGTGCGTCAATCGAAAATTAAAAAAAAAAAAAATGTTTAAAAAAAAAAAAAATAAAATAAAAGACCTAAATTTTTGTATAAAACAAACTTAAAACAAACAAAAGGAATTGGTTCGACGGGTACACATCAAAGGGAAAACAAAATTGTTATTTTTATTTAATTCCGAGCATTTTCATATTTATCTACCTTTTAAACCTTCTCTGGACTTCCACAAATAAATCAAGACCAAAATTAGCCAAATCGGTCCAGTCGTTCTCGAGTTTTAGCGAGACTAACGAACAGCAATTCATTTTTATATATTATTATTATTTATATAGAAGATTAACGTAGTTGTTTTTATATACTGTTTGTCTATTAGAAATAATTACAATAATAATGTTAAATTTTATTCATTACAAATTTTAAATTAACTTCAGCTGTACAAAACCAAGAAAATATAGAATTTTAGAATTCATTGAATTGCAGGTGTTTAATACAATTAACAGCATTAACAATTACCCAATAAATTGTCGAATAACAAATGAATTTTATTTTTATGTATTCGCTCATTTTAAATTCAAGCTGCATTTTTGTTATAGGTAAGTAGTAAATGCACTCCAAATATAATCTCAAACAATATTTTTTTAAATTTAAGTTAAATCTAATTTTGCTATGAAGAAATCTACGGTTGCTTGTATTTCTAAAGGAGGTAAATCTCTTTTTGTTCGAAGTTATTATTTACTTTGGCTTGTCGTTCAGCTCACGGGTCTTAGTTTGGAAAAAATGCTAATATGGGCTCAGCAAGCGCAGCGCTTCGCTGAATCTACCACGAGATAGCGACCCACTGAGAAGATCGGGCAAAAAATTTAGTGACTTGTAGTGTATGAGTAAGTGGCACATTGAAATCTTCTTCGTATTTGACAAGTTCGAACTAGATGATGACCGAGCTTTGCTCCTTTTTTTTTATAACGCCATCTTGTTGTGTCTTTAAAGCGGTTAGTTGCCCTCAATTAAGAAAAATAATATTATTATTCGCCAATAGATGTCGGGAGGAGTCATAAAGTTGATTATCGATAAAGTTGATTATTGAAAACACGAATAAAACAACATTTTCTGAAAGTAAATCGTAGCTAGATCTCGATTTATCGCTCCCGAAATCCCCTGTATACTAAATTTTATGAAAATCGTTGGAGCCGTTTCCGAGATTCAGATTATATATGTATATACATATATACAAGAATTGCTCGTTTAAAGGTATAAGATATACTATACTTGAGACCTTAGAACTTGTATCTCAAAGGTGGGTGGCGCATTTACGTTGTGGATGTCTATGGGCTCCAGTAACCACTTAACATCAGGTGGGCTGTGAGCTCGTCCACCCATCTAAGCAATAATAAAAAAATGTGACGGTAAATTTTTTTCCAACGCCGATAAGGAAGTTTCACTTCAAAAACGTGTAAGATAGCACGGTGACCGATCCTAGAAGAGCCTAAAAGTACCAATAAACCGAGCAGCTTAAACTATTTAACGTTGCCCCTTACAAAATCAAACAGCAATTTATCGTTCTGACACTAATGTGACACTAAGGCGTTATTAACTAATTCCCATAGAGTTACTATGTACTTATTAACTCCATGTTAATTCCACATACGCTGTGTTGTATAAACAAGGTTTGTTGAAATTAATTTAAGTCCCAGAAAACTAAACCGACTGAAGGAAGGGAAAGGTACTCACAATAATGCGTGCTATCTCGCTATTGTGGTCTTCTGTCCCCGGGCCACTGTTCTGGATTGCTGTAGTCGTCGAGTTTAAAGACACATGGACACAACGCTCAAGCTTGATTAGCAAAGTTCTTGCGAAAAAAGTGCCGCGCACGCAACAGCAAAGAAACTATTTATTTCAAAAATACCGTTTTTTTTTCTTTTCCGCGCGTGGTTTGAAGCGTCGACCCAGTTCGTCTTCTGCACCCGCTAGGAGGCGCGTTGTAAATTTTCACAAAGCCAATAGATGGCGTGGATCAAGCAAAGGGATATTTAGTCGGTTCCCTAACACGCTGGTATGCGTTTATTTGAGTAGATACTTGTGAAGTTAGAAAGGCAACAATCCTTGGATCCAAAAACAAGGTTCCCACCTTGGCTTGAAACATGAGATGTAAAGTACCATGCCCAAATTAGTATGGAGCTGAAAGTCAGCAATGCCCTGCAATGCCCGAATTGCAGCTCTATACCATATGATAGTTTTTTAACAGTATTTATATATAAGTAGTAACATGATATCTAGATTTAATGTCATATAAAGCAAAAGTTCAAAAGATATTGGAAATTAAACATGATAACTTCCTACTGGTTTTTTATACATTTTATCGCTTACAGACAACATTGCTATTAGTTTTTTACTAGGAGCTTCATGATCAGTATTGGTTTCTGGTGATATTATATACAGGTTACGAAGAAAATAAAAAAGAAGTATACCTAAGTAGGTAAGTGCTTATACTGTCAATGAGGGATAGGTGAACAAACAAATAGTCCCATAAATGGCGTTGGTAAAAAGTAAAATCTATATTGAAGTGAAACTTCTTTATCGGCGTTGGAAAAAAATTTACCGTCACATTTTTCGGTTACGCGTCACATTTTTCCGTTACGCGCCATCTTTTTTGTATTCATGTCTATGATAATAAAATCCTTTTGTTTAAACTTTATCTAATTTAACTTTTTTGTATTCATGTCTATGATAATAAAATCCTTTTGTTTAAACTTTATCTAATTTAACTTTTTTGTATTCATGTCTATGATAATAAAATCCTTTTGTTTAAACTTTATCTAATTTAACTTTATTTAACCAATTTCTAGAAAGTTGCATGTAGATCATTTTTCGAAAAATAAGGCCATAAAGAAGTTTCACTTCTTACGTGTGTACACTAGTACACGCACACATTTTTTTGTATGACGTTTATTATAAAATCATATTTTTATTTGGTTTTGTTGTAAAGCAGTATATTATTATTCGATTATTTAGTAATCACTTTTATGACTAATATCAATCATGTTGAGTTTTACATAGGCCAAAAGACGTGATTCCAGACCGTAATAAATAAAGCATGAATTAATGATTAAAAAAACGATGATACGTACTGCAATGTCAATAAGAAGTCTTATTTTNTATTTTTATTTGGTTTTGTTGTAAAGCAGTATATTATTATTCGATTATTTAGTAATCACTTTTATGACTAATATCAATCATGTTGAGTTTTACATAGGCCAAAAGACGTGATTCCAGACCGTAATAAATAAAGCATGAATTAATGATTAAAAAAACGATGATACGTACTGCAATGTCAATAAGAAGTCTTATTTTTTTTATTTTTTTATCCAGTGCTTCATATGATTTAAAATTAACAACATAACTCTAGTTTTTATTTATTAGAGCAATTTTGTAATATACTATAACTGGGCATTTCTGGGGCAAAAATGGGCATTGTCCTTTACTGGATACATTGAAACAAACTCAATCATTCATTGTTTAAATCATCCCATTTTGCCCGCGCTGTATATAGTTTTAGAACAGATCTCATAATGGAATCACTGGTTTCAATAACAAGACAAACAAATTTAAAAATGTAGTATTTATTATTATTTACAAATAAATTAATTATAATATAAATGCATTCAAAAGTATAAAATTATTAATCTAAATAATATTTAATACTGAGATTATTAACGAATTAAAACTATAATAAATAAATAAATTATCAGTCACAATTTCCCTTAACCCGTACCACTCGAAGAGAAACTTCCCGTAATCTCGGGTGAAGAAAAGTCACAAACATAAAAACCTCTATCCATCCGTATTTTAATAGAAAATCTGAAATAGCTGAAAGTATTGTTTTAAGATCAGCTTAAACTGATACTGTAGGCTGGTAAGCCTGAGCAAGTCTGAAAATGGCACCTAAGCTAAGAAGTGCGCGTTTGAGATGGTATGGACATGTGACGAGACAAAATGAAAATGAGATTGGTAAGAGAGTGATAACTATGATTGTGGAAGGATATAGAGGAAGAGGTAGACCTAAGAAGAAATGAATGGATTGCGTGAAAGGTGATATGTGTACGAGGGGAGTGAGCGAAGAAATGGTATATGATAGAAGAGTATGGAAGGAGAAAACATGTTGCGCCGACCCCAGGTGAGTGGGAGAAGGGCATGAGAATGATGACTGTGGGCTGATAAGCATAATGAATAAAATGTTATTGGGCATTATTTGAATTGTCTACGCTCAAGCCACTGCCGGACTATGGTATAAGTCAAATAGAGAGAGAGTGAGAGAAAGAGAGCGATCTCTTCCAGACAATCATCAGGTGGACAAGAATCATTTGGAAACGAATGACGCGCGGTGTACCAGTCCCATAACTCCCCTAAGTCAAATATAATCCGAGTTAAGACTCTAATATCTTGACTATAAGCTGACTGACCGTTTTCCATGCAGTATGTTTAAGGGCGTAAATGACGCTAGTACCTAACTCAGTTTTGTGACTTTCTTACACCTGTGCGAAATCAGGAGTGTAATTAAGCAACAGCTCCCGGGGCTGTAATGTACATAGGGGCTGGTGACGGCCTGTTCTTCGGAGAATACGCTCGGTTCGACGCCCAGTCTTTTCCCCCTGCTCCCGAGGAGTAGGCGTAGCTGCTGCCGTAGTCCGAATTGAAGTCGCTGCTATCGGAGCTGCCGAAATAGGAATAATGCGGCATGGAGTGGTGCTGTGGAAGAAAGGTACATTCATAAATTGACTGACTCTGTGATGTCCCTGACTACTGTACCGAGGGTTGTGGGTTCGATTTACACATCGGGAAAAGATGTTTTTATTTATTTATTTTTAATTGCATACTTGGGCAGACGAGTTACCGGAGCCCATAGACATCTACAATATATATTAGTTTTAAGGTTTTAGTAAAGTACAACGGCTTCAAACCGAAACGCCTTACGGCTTCACGGCAGAAATAGGCAGGGTGGTCTTACCTACCCGTGTGGACTCACAAGAGTTCCTACCACCGATAAATCTAACATTCCTTTAATCCTACGACACGTCAAGAGAATAAGTAACATATATGTTATACTCAATTACTCTTTTAGTGTATTTGTTTCCAATAGTAGAGTGAACTTTATGGCGTATCAAATGATAATTTACATTAAAAATAAGCAATAGACATAGACATAGACATTGTGCATGGCATATCTGTATATTGGTTACGTTGTAGATATCTATGGGCTCCAGTAATCACTTCACACCAGGTATGCTGTGAGTTCGTCCAAATATCTATGTAATAAAAAATAATAAAAAAATCAATAAAAAGAAAAATACAAAATAGCCTAACCATGAGTTGTGCACATGCTATGTTTGTTACTGTTTAAAAACACCCCGTATTTCTGAGAGGAATTTCATTAGGTAAACTTTACAGGAGAAAAAAAAAACACGTGTGGCACTCGGAGACTGCCGCGGTAAAGCTATTGCATAGCATTTTTTATCAACTTATGCAATTATAAATCGACAATAATAATTTAATATTAAAACAACAATAAAATAAGATCCGGCGAGAAACTCAGTGGGCTAGCTTTCAATGAATCTGCTACATTCCATTTTGACCACGCACTCACTAGAGGGCGCTACATGGGATAGAGACACGCCTTTGGATGCTAGTTCTAACTCTCATTCGCCCAGAATCAATGGTTTAGCTAGTTTATTTTAAATGCCACTCCAATCACTGAATGAGTAGTAGGAGTAGTAATAAAATTCTTCGACTAAGCGATAGAAAATGGCACGCCCAACGCATTGTAATGTGATATAATTTTCTATTTTACAATTCCGTTTGTCGTATCGTTGTGTTACCCACGAAATTATATCACGTATTTTGATAGTACATAAATCGGTGTTTAGACTTCTTACTTTAAACACTACACAATCGCAACGTGTGAATGTGTTGAACGCGAGCCACATAGTAGGCGTAGTGAGGGTTTTTTTTTTTTTCCACAGGAGAAAATCGCCGGATCCCCACCCGCGCGGCAGGTGGGGTATGTGGGAGTTGAACCTCACTAAAAACTTCTGCCGCTCACAACCGGCGCCCTACCTCGGACCGGGCCGGAGCCCAGTCGGGGCTATTGAAACGGCGGGACAGGGTTGACGCAGAGCACATTACATCCATCCCACCGTCCCACGGACGCCGGACCGGCGGCCGCCAGCGACACGACCGCCGGTTCCCTCGTTCAGCGGGCCGAGAACCCGCTTTGATGGCGCCGCGTTACACCTTCCCCCAGAGCGGTCGGGGGAACGCGGTCTACCATCACCCGGCTTCCTACTGCGGGTGAGCGTGCAAAGCACGCCACCCTACGTCTGGGTCTCTCCCCGCACAAAACGGGTGGGACCCCTAGCTCTTAGGGGGCCAGGTCACGGATACGACCCCCTGCTCGGCGGCGGCGGGTTTCTGCGTAGTGAGGAGAGCTTTGCCTCACTCGCCCCGCTGCCTCCTTCTGCGAGATGTAGTGAGGGGTGGAAAGTATTTTTTTCGTTACGGAATTTCACGATTCCGCTCTCAAGCCGCGCTCACGGCCCGCGATAAAATCTATGCAATAGCTTAAAAAAACAAAATCAAAATAAATCAAATGAACTTGTTAATTTATCGAAGCGATAACGCCCGTGCATTTTATTGAAAATAACAATCGATATAAATAAAAGCTTTCGAGTTATTTCGAGTGTTTTAGATAAGGAAGCCCATTTGACCTTCCATATTACTTGCTTATTGAAAATGTTAAAAGGACTGCGAGACATGATTAGCATTCACTTATTGGAAAGTGAGAAAGGAATTGCGAGAAATACGATTAAATTCCGATATCCTTTATTGGTGTAATAAGGAATTGATCAAGGACTTTTAAAGTATCATAAATTTACAATAGGTAGATAAATGATATTCAGTTTTATCAAGTATTTTTGTTTATTTTTAATGATACGCAATGTAATTTTAAACCCGCAAAATTATAATTTGCGTAATTACCGGTGGTAGGCCCTCTTGTGAGTCCGCACGGGTAGGTACCACCACCGTGCCTATTTCTGCCGTGAAGCAGTAATGCGTTTCGGTTTGAAGGGTGTGGCAGCCGTTGTAACTATACTTGGGACCTTGGAACTTATATCTCAAGGTGGGTGGCGCATTTACGTTGTAGATGTCTATGGGCTCCAGTAACCACTTAACACCAGGTGGGCTGTGAGCTCGTCCACCCATCTAAGCAATAAAAAAAAAGTAAGATAGTTGGGAATAAGAAGAGGCATGTGTTGGCGTTAGAAGAGAGTAGGTTCATAAATCTTCCTCAAGTGAAATCAGATGACTTTCGAGAGATAAACTGGATTAAGTTAATTATTCTGAGCGCGAAATTGAGCAGAAACGCATTCACATGTTTGCTATTAACATAATTTGGACTTATTACATGAAAAAATGTGTGTGTGTTACAATAATCGCAAGGGACAACCACTCCGCAGTCCAATGGAGAAGCCTCACCCTGGGGGAACCGCCTGCATGCTCACGGTATCTCTACGACAGGTAAGTATGATTTAGCTTTTTTTTTTTTTTTTTTTTTTTTTTTACCTATGCTGATAGCCTTGAGAGGCTATTTCAGCTTCACCCTAACGTTAGTAGGTGAGCTCGCGGGGCTCAACCGGAGAGTTGCTAAC